TTATGGTTATGAGCATCTTCTGCTCTGCACCTCTGCATAGAAACCGATGCATATGAGAACGTTGACTTCAGACACGAAGCACTGGTGTCTGTTCCAGAAGCTCCAGATTTTAAGGCCCACAGGAATCCTCTCTCCCCACCTACTGCATGGCACAAGACAGAAAATTCTCCCCATGAATCCTGCATCTGAGCTCAAAGCACCTGCACAGTTATATCTTCTCACTGCATCGAAGGAGTCGCCCACTTATTCTGGTGGTTAACTATCTCTTTATCATTATGAATCATTTCAACATCAAATTGTCACGGGATGCTACTTTGCGTTGGCCTGCTACACTGCAGACCCATCACATTCCATGCTTACTCCAGTGAAAGTAACTCACTTTGATCATCTTACTACTGGAGAGCTCAATTTCTCTCTCACATGGGCCTCTAATGCTTTTTCAAACAAAATGGATACTATAGTGGTTTTGGTTTGTTCTGTCTTTTTACAGAAACACTTTATTGCTGCAGTCAATAACCCTGTGTATCACACACAAATAACCAATTACAGTTTAAGAAACTAAAAATAATTCTGCAAGTGGTAATACTGAGAAAATGAACATACATGAAAGGATACAAAACTATACATTTAAGTTACTAGAAATTTACTACCTAAAAAATTCTGCAGAAGTGTGAAGTTTCTTGTATAAACTATACAACACATGCCAGTATAAGGTTGTTTCACGTTATACAATTACCTATCTACAAATATTTTATCTAAATACAAGATCAGCTGCAATTTTTTAAACAGTTATCTTCTATATAAAGACAAGTGCTTTCAGTACGTCATTGGAATATACAGACACTGCAATATCTCAAAACTAGAAAATAATCACAAAATAAAAGGTCCTGCTTAGAAGTTTTCTTTGCATATCTAATGCAACGCTGTGAAAATCTAGCCAGCAATATTTTTGCTTTTGTATTTGCCCTGTTTCACCCATATCCGAGATGAATCCAACCCAGAATCACCAACCTCCCTTTCACTGCCAGCCACAATCTCCACAGCAGACCACACCAGAAATCTGTATCTTAACATACCTCAGCTTCAGCAGAAATTTGAACCCATGTCCCACTTTGTCACAGATACTTACCCAGCCAAACACAGGGCTGAGGCAACCAGCTGCCATGCGTGGCCATACCCATGCATCACGAGGGCCATGCCAAGCACCCCTCTTCCTTACAGCACCGCCACAAGTGGGATTGATGCCCGGCTCAGTACAGGGGATTGGCAGAAGGAGGCTTGTACAGAGAGGTACTATTGCTTCCCAGCATTTCCCAGGCACACCACAGGGGGCCAGTACTTCTCTAACCCCTTGCAGGCTCAGTGTAACCTTTGTTGAATCCCTCCTG